TATAGAATCCGATCAACTGTTACATGTATCACATAAACAGAAATATTTTCCTGACGCCAAGATCGCAGACGTCATTAACTGCTGTAGTCTCTTTTAGTCTAAGACTGACGTATGTCGTATGACTTTGGATTTTAATTTGTAATGTGGTTCATCCTCCGGTACTTGGTAGATGAAGTTTCTACCCACAACTGGAGTTCCTTTATGCAGTGCGCCCAATACATGTCCATAATTGGCCGTCCGTGGATGTATTTTACGAGCAAACATTATAGCTTCTACTTGAGCGAACCGAATTGCAGGTTTATTTCCACGATATGGAGTTAAATTTTAATCAGCTGTTGTACTAATGGTTGTTATAGTAGGTTCAGATAGTTTGGAGACATCAGTGCAATATTTTACAGTGATTTTCTTTGTGTCCATGTCTTCAATTAGCTACATTGTATGTAGATATAACACAGTAGTAGTTGTTGTACCACAGTAGTCAATGAACAAAAATACACTGAACACGTTATTTAATTCATAGGAATGAATAAATCAAACAATGGCTAGACAAATAATTCTCGTGGACCAATAAAAATATGAAAATAACTCGAATCAATTAATACTACGAAAGGTATAAAAAGAATAATAATTTAATCGAGCACAGCAACAAATATATACAAAACGTATGGGTCAATTATTCACTCAGAAACGTGCGTCTTCAACTGTCCAAATATATATCTACAATTGTGACTGTGTAGAATTATGATCATTTCCGGTATTAGAATCTTCGCTCTGGTTTAGATATTGATAAAACCAACGCCAAAACTGTAGATTTGTCGTGATGTGACAACTTATCTATAATATCTAGCGCGGGAGTAACGTAATTCCCTACGCTGACTTTTCCCATGGTGAAAATCAGCGAAATGATGTCTAGCCTTTATGAAGAGCACGTTTGAACTAGGATGTGAGTATCATATTGAGTACAAAAAGTATGAGGTTATAATCATGTGGTGTTTGAATGGACTAATGATACCTTTGTACTGGTTGAATGTTTGATTTCGAATTCTAAATACGGTACATTCGTTGTGCCTGTGTCTTCTTAATTCAATTGCGTTAATCCTGGAATTCCTAATTCATACGACAATTAGAATACTATAAATAACCACGCCTGCATGACCGAGCCATGCAATTTCGAATGGTTATTGCCATATTCACCATTGTTGACCTTCTATTAGTGAAAATGTTAAATGTATATCTTTTCAGTAATTACATGAACGGCGTCGAAGATCATGTGGTTAGGAAGCACAGTCATCACAAATGCAGAAGAATGATTTAAGGAATGCCATGTATATATCGAAAGTGTTCGTGTGTAGTTGACAGGCAACATTTCAAATCATGTGAGCTGCAACATGTGCATTGGAATTATAATTAAACAAATAACGAATGACACGCAAGGAAGACAGAACATGGCTGCGGTGGACTAAGGCATATCAATTCCAAAAAAACGGCGAAGTTCTTACGAAATACTGTCAATGTGTTAATATATCAAATATAGATCATACACATGAAAAATATACTAGACGTTACTTCAGTTGTTAGTAATAGGCGTGTTCGAGTTTCTTTTGGTTTCGTTATCCACAATTATAAGTGGTCAGTAACTCCAAATTTCGTTGATATGATTCGAGATGTTTATTGTGTTGAGGATATCGCTGTGATCTGTAAAGGTAGACAGCAAATATATCGGAGTTCTGTTGCCGAAACAGTAGATAATTGCGAACAAAAAGCATCACTGTACTCATGAGCGATAATCAGTATGTCATGCTATGGGGTTTTCAAAAACGGAATGAAAGATCGAAGATCCTATTTTAAATAAGCTAAAAATGTCGATGGTATTTGGAGTTTGACGACGCCTTTAAACTTAACACTTTCATAACCGAAGTATGCCAATCCAGTCAAATCGGAAATCAAAAATGAAGAGGTTCAAAGATACGTTTGAAAGGCTACCGATATATCGGGAAGTGTCTGATATAAGCTGACTAACGGTTGTTAGAGACGCAGACAACGGTAAATCCACCCATGATCCTGTACGGATGCGTAACCAAGCGCCTTCAGCAAGGTGACTCCAGTGAAACTAACGTGGTCAGCATCGAATGTCGAGGAATTACAGAACTTTGAAATGGTGGAGATTTTTAGCTCAGGCGGATAATTTTGGCGGAGTTTTGTTCCGTGAGCTGGATGGTTTGGTCGTGGAGCTTTCATCGTTCTTCTGAATGACATCATCAGCACAAACTTCAGGCACAATTTTTTTTAATAAATAAATAAATACATTGTGTCAACTGCGAAAAACACTACATCGGACAAAGCGGACGCCCCCTTCACCTTCGCCTACACGAACATCAATTAGCAGTCAAACGCCATGATGTCTCCTCACTTATATCAATACACGTGGACAACTGCGGACACTCATTCGATTGGAAAAATGTGGAACTCTTAGACAGAAGAAACTCCAAAAACACCAGAGAATTTTTAGAAGCCTGGAACTCAGGTCAATCAAAAATCAACAAACATATTGAAATCAATCCAATTTACCAACCAATCAGAAAAATCATGTACAAATATAGGAACAAAAATCAAACCAATGGGAGACACAACCAAAACAAATAAACAAGGACAAATTTAGGGTCAATAAGAACCAATCAACATCAAGGTACACAGAACAACCTTTGAAACATATATGGAGAAATTCGAACACTTCACTTCTACCTGAAGTTTGTGCTGATGATGTCGTTCAGAAGAACGATGAAAGCTCCACGACCAAACGATCCAGCTCAGAGAACAAAACTCCACCAGATCTACATAACTATTTATTTGGGGATTTGCCGCTGCATAAAAATTTACAGTCAATAATGGTAGTTGTACAAATCATGAGAAATAAAAAAAATAAAAAAACCCAATTACAAAAGTTTATTTCAACTATCCCCTCAAGGTATGTGTGAACAGGTATAGTTAATGACCTGTAATTATTAAAACATGTGAACAGTAAACATGAATGATAAAAATCAACTTTATAAATTATTTAAGCAATGCAGTGTTTGTACAGGTTGAACGGAGTAATTAAAACCTACAAATAATCACAAAAATTAATAACAAAGTCTAGTGGTAGATGAATTAAGTCCCGATATAATTTTTGTTACAGAAACTTGGTTCACCATAGATACAGAATGTTCTCCCATCATTGCAGGCCATATCTGTATTGGAAGTGATAGTGTTTTAAGTCGCAAGGAGGGAGGCATAATGTTATACGTCCACGGCTGCGGTCATCTCTTGCGGGCATTATTTCAAAACCGCTCGCGACAATCTTCAACATGTCCCTTTCACTCGCTCAACTCCCTAGAGATTGGAAAGACACTATTATCAGTCCTATATTTAAGGATGGTCAGAGACAGATCGTATCTAACTACCAGCCTGTCAGTCTAACTAGCATTGAGGTTAAGTTAATTGAAAAGATAGTTCGGGTTAGGTTGCTAAGCCTCATATATTCATACAATCTGTTAGCTACTGAGCAACATAGATTTCGTAACAAGCGTTCGTGCTTGACCAACTTACTCAATGCGAAAGAGGATTGGATAGCAGCCTTAGATAAAGGTCTGTCTGTCGATATGGTATTCATAGATTTTAGCAAAGCATTTGACAAGGTTTCACACTTAGGTCTTATGCAGAAACTCACGAGCTTAGGAATAATAGGTACTATACAGGAGTGGATAGGAAACTTCTTATGTGACCGCAGACAGAGAGTGAAGGTCAAAGAAACGCTATCCGATTGGAAGCCGATCAGAAGTGGTGTACCTCAGGGCACCATCTTAGGCCCTCTGCTCTTCCTTCTCTACGTTAACGAGTTATATCTGTTGCTTAGGTCGTCGACATTATCGTTTGCGGACGAAGTAAAAATCTGGAGAACCACAAAAAGTGGGGCTGATCATTTGGATCTACAAGCTAACTTAGACGATTTAGTTAGATGGGCTCGAGGTTAAGGCTTAGAAATCAATTTTAGGAAAAGTGTGCTAATGTACATCGGTCACGGTAATAGTTACCATTATACTACTGATTGTAAACCTCTTCCATGCGTTCAAGAGCATAAAGACTTAGGAGTAATAATGAGTCATGACTCAAAAACAAATACGTATTGCAACGCAGCCGCTGTCAAAGGTTTTCGTGCGTCATGGTCACTTCACCGAGCGTTCAAATCTTTTGACGTGGAAATGTTTCGAATTTTATATATCACCTATGTAAGACCACATTTAGAGTACTGTATCTAAGTGGCCAGCCCATGTCTGGCAAGGGATACTAACTCACTTGAGCGTGTCCAGCGTGTGGGAACGAAAGCAAAGAAGTTTCTTTCTAAATTCTCTTATGGTGAGCGTTTAAAACACCTTTTCCCCTTGTCGTATCGTAGGAGGCGGGGTGACCTTATACTGGCATTTCGAATCTTTCACTATGATTTGGGTGTTAATATGTCTTATCTTTTTGCTCCCTCCAGCACTAATAATCTCCAAGGTCATAACAAGAAGGTTCACAAACCGCGATTTAATAAACATAAAGTGGGGTCCCATTTTTCTCAACGAGTAGTCAATGACTGGAACGCCTTACCTGAAAAAGTGGTATCGGCCTCATCAGTGAATATTTTCAAGAACAAGCTGGACCTTCATCGGAAGGCAATCTGTCAAGATTATTGCATGTTAAACAACCTACTATCCTTATAACTGAAGACCGAAATTGGGTTTGTTTCAACCACCGCCTATAATTCAAGAGCAGAAATTCCATTGCGAGAGATGCAATGTAGATGAGAGATTCTATTGAAACACTTATTAGGTTGAGTCAACACTGAGCTACTACATTTCATCGCTATTTATAATATGTAGGGTACTATATTTTATGTTTTCATAAGGACCCAAAATATCACTCTGAATTTTCAGAACCACTGTTCAATTGTTGTTTCTTGGTATACATCTACAACCCAAATAAGAAAAACTGGTGATTCATTGCTACATGGCACGGAAGCCAGTCGAACGCAAACCTCTATTCAGTTTAGAAATGTTTGAAATTATATAAATTTGAGCATTATTTTTGGCGGGAGCAAAGTCGGTGTGTTACACTTTACTTTATTAAACAGGGGATGTAGTGTACTGCTGAACACTATTAATAAAAAGTAATCACTCGAGCTATTGTTGACGCCCTTTTAATTTTGGTTTAATTGCGTAAGATACGAAGTTTCATCATACTGTGAAAGCCATGACGTCCAACTACGTTCATGGTGGTTCAGGAATCCAGAACAGTATGCTTTCGTACACTTTGAAAAATCTGTCACTCGGGTCCAATCAACTTACTCAGGTAAACGCGAATAAATGACACTTTACCGTTATTTCTCGAAAATGTCCTCGTGACAGATGAATGATCAAACTAACTCGATGTGTATGACTCCACCGGCTACACAAATGAATTTTCTTCGTCCTATTCCTGGTGCATCTAGTGAGGCTGTCTTCTCAAGCACACATCGTCCAGCTTCTGGCCGTACGTTGGGGATAGCGGATTTCCTTTCGCTGAATACCACTTCCACTAACAGACCCTCTGTATTGTCCACTGTATCTATTTCGAAAGCATCACCCGCCCCACAAAATGGACAGTCGACGAGAGCTCCTGAAAGGGTGGCTTTAACATCAAAAGCGGTAGTCCCGGGAAACCATGGATTTGCCAGTATGTTCCGTCCCCGAGTAAGTTAATGCATCAACTATTATCACGTAAGTCTCTTTTAGCTCAATCAAAAACCATACAGAATGAAATCGTTTTATTTCGCGAGGTTACCAGCTACTTAGCACCTATGATGCTTTTAAACCAGGTTTCCAGATAGGCTAATATATTAATACGAATGTAGTTAAAATTTAGTGTGAAGATTAAAGGTCTAAATATAATCAATTAGATTGTTTCACTATAATGAAGCATATTCACATCCACTTCTAACTGAACTGTTTGTATGAGTAGAGTGATCCCCATACGTAATTCTGATTGTAATGCTTCAGTCGTAAACGGCCAACATGAACCTAGTGAATCAAAAAGAATTTACTTTGTTCTATTCAACTCAGTTCTTGTTCTCTTCATCCTAATAAAGAATGCTGTGTCAGGAATATCCATTATCTATCGCTTCTCGAGGTGTTCATACTGTCCTGAAAAAGTTACAGCATCAGGATGCTACGTTAACCTTATTTCGTAACTTATGAACTTAGTGTTTTCCATTTCGTTAATCTGTTGTGCTTGTTAAGATAATCATTTTAGGTAGATGCAAGTAAAAAGCACATTGTGGTGTGCTTTTCCCCGATATATCTATGTCAGCAATGTTTTACTTGAGCATAACGTCGGGAGTACTCAACTCTGCCAAGTGGCTGACAGATTTTGTCCGTCCGCTTTCTCTTTCAAAGCGTTAACTGATACTAAACAAAGCGAATTGCACGGCTAGCATGTTAAGATAGTATTTGAGCGCCTGCAGTTGATTGTAATGGTGATTATCGTCATATTCACTTAATTGAATTTTTTTCACACAAGGCCTAAATTGACATACGAATGTTAGTTTAATGAGTATGTGTCACGACTTCAACAGCTTAATTCAAGTTGTGCATATCCTTTGCACCATTCCCTTTGGAGATAACCACAAATATCCTTCCGATTTATTTCTATGAGCATCATAAATCTTTTATCTGATTCTGTTAATAAAGTGCTTGTCCCGAAGAAACTAACATAAACCTTACGGCTACTAGTCTGTTATTGAAGCCTCTGTGCTGTGCACCTAGTGAATTCTTACACAAAGTGGTTGTATGTCATTGTAGCCAGACTGTACCATTTGACTTGATTGTTTGAGATACTTCGTTTCTTATTAAGATCTCGGGACAACTACATCATATATCTGATTTTAGGCGTTTCGACGGCTTTTCGTTAAGTCTAGATTGGTTGCAGATACTGTAACTCGTATAGAAAACCAAGTGAAGAAAGTGGTCATATAATAGCATCAGAATAGTTTACTTGATGTGATCATGATAAATCTTAGTAATGTTAATATTCATTGGCTTGAAGCTATATTCTTAGTCCAAAATGCTTACTAAGAGCCATTCACTGTATTTATATAAGCCATCGGGAGTGATCAAATGATAACGCAACATATGATCATTGAAAGATAGTGTATTTATGAGAATTATACGGCATTCAGACAAGACTCCTGTAATTTAGAGACATTTATTTCGCCTAAGTATGCCAAAGTTAAAGAACTTCAAAATTAGGAGTGATTTTAGTTTTGGTTAAAAGTCTACTAATGGTTTAAGGTCAAATACCATACGGTTATTGCTAATAGCTTCAATAATACCTTTCTAAAGTAGATACTATTCTCATAAAGTGTACTCATTCAGGTTTTCGCGTCTTTTTCTAGGGTCCTGGTGTTTCTTCTTCTCGTGTCCTTTCCAACTTACCAGATAGCCGGCAGATCCCCTCAAACTCTGAGATTTGTTCATCCTTCTTCTCTAATCGATTTGGCGGCACAGCCAGCGACAGTCTTACAACGGATAGAATAAATCATCCAACCGTCACTCACTCTAACTCACCTACATCTGCATTTGACAATATGTTGACCTCTCCACATTCGTTTGAAAATTTTCTACCACCGAATTTAAGACAGCTAACACAGCCTGGACAATCTCATATACAAAATTCATCAGGTTCCTCACTAAACTCCTGTCAATCTGACACTCCATTGCCTCCCGAAATGCGACCTGACACTCACCTCACCCCTTTCAGTGACTCCCAGTGTGTTCTTCCCATTACTGCCTCTCAATTCTATTCCAGTCATCATTTTGAAAATACTAAAAAACTCCAGGCCTCTGGTAGCCTTAAAGTCGCTCCTTGGATTCTTGTCCCACCAGTTCCTGAGGGCACTGCAGCTCATATGAGAACAGGAAGAGTTCATGAAGCTAAGCCAACCTTGTTCAACAACCCTGCATTTGGTCCCATCATAATTGATGATGACTTCAAGCACGTAAGTTACTACTACATTTTTTCAATCCATTTCTTTTCTGGGACCTTTCAATATCAAACTCACAAGTTTTATTCTTTATTTCAGGCACTGCACAGTAAACTTCAAGCTTGCTTGTTCATGGCTGATGAGTCCATAAAGGAAAGTAAGTGATGTCGACTGGTAATAAAGTTTTGTAGAAATGGATGAATTATAATAGTTTAGTGAAATAAGATTGCACAAGATTTTTCAAAATATAAGATTGCGTCAGTACTGCCATTTGTTAGAGGCTTGCTAATCAAGAGTAAAAACCAAAATCCTTTTGTTTATTCACAGAAGTAGGTTGCATATTTACATTCTTCATAGTCATGCAAATCACGTCAGTGCTCCAGTGTACCGTTAGCCATCTAGAACAGTACTTTGCTCAAGCCTGTTGTCCCTTTTTAGGACATAGACAACCAACCAGGCTTCTCTAGTCAACTTTGTTCTGGGTCCTCCTCCACAGTTGTTGTCAGGTGCTATTTATGATCCTGGTTTCCCCTTCCGATTTCATGCACTGTGTTCTCCCATCTGTCTCTTTTCCTTTTGCAGTAAGGATTCCCAGTTAGGGCTTGTCTTACAATACGATTCAATGATTTCCGTAAAATGTATCCTGTCCACCTCCAACATCTTTTCTTAATTCTCTCCTCAACTGGAAAATGGTCTGTTTTCTACCAGAGTATGTTATTGCTAGTGGTCTCTGCACAGTGAGCTTGGAGTATCTTGCGTAGATACCTGTTCATAAATACTCTCATTCTTTCGATGGCTGTTGTAGTAGTTTTCCAAGTTTCAGCTTCGTGCAAGAAAACTGCTCTAATGTTAGTGGTGAAGATTTCTACTTTAGTTTTGGTTGGTGGATCTTTGAGTTCCAAATAAATGTAACTAGGGAATTTAAACTTTACTCTTGAATAATAAAGTATTTACGGACAACTACGGTTTTTGATTACGTAAACTAAAATCATACAGAGGCTTGGCCTTCTGGTGATTGATATCCTTGTCCATTGAGATACAGTTGTGTTTAGACGAGTATTTGGTAAAGATCTTGATGCATGCACTGCTCTGGCGATGTTAGAAACTCGTATTTCATAACCATTCCTAGCGATCCCATTACTAGAAATATGTTACCGTAGCCTAGGTACTAACCACTTTTAACTTTAGTTCATTTTAAGTTCTTATGTGTTATCATACATCAAAAGTTTGCTTCTGGAGACAGTACAGAGTTTAAGATACCTTAAATTAGGTCCGTAGACTAATATTATCTTATTAGTTGTGATATTTTGAATCTCACCCCACTTCTCGCCCATAATCTTAAAGTCCATCTGTTATTTTACCTGAAATATTCCCAATCAGAATGAAATACATTTTCGATCCTCATCATTTTCGCTGCATATGAAACTATCGTCAGTGCAGTTGTCAATATTTTATAACTCAACAGCTAGTTACTACTTTGTTATCTCTTTTTCGACCTTTCATGTAAAAACCAGCAATTGACCCAATAACAATTGCGTGTAAATAATGTCTAATGCACTAACTAGGTTTATTTATTCAAGAACCTGGCTTGTTGTTTGTTTAATGTACCCTTACATATTCTTCGAAACCACTGGTAAGCAAAAGCTAAAATCTCATAAGTTACAAAGGAAAAATGAAAGGGAAGTTTTGTATAAAGAAAAAACAAATTAAAGACAGTTGGAATTTTCTCGTTATTTTCAACGACTTAATTTATCTTATGAATATCAAAATATAAATCTAATACGTAGTGATGGGTAATTTAGCAGAGGGTGTTTACTACCATTGTACATAATTCAGCCGTAATGGAGTAGACCACGTAATATTCAGCAATATTATCTCATCTAATTTTTGTACGAAAAGAGAGCTATTTTTTCTCAGTTAACTTTTACTGCATATGCTAATTCACTTTTGTCCTAACTTTCTATCCCCACAGAATTACCTCGCAACCTAGGAGCTTACACTGACCTCGTTCCTCTAGAAATTTTAGATCAACCAAGAGTATCAGTTACATTTGGCCTTCCTGGAGTCTGTTTTAAAGCTTGGTCTCCTCGATTTAGTCGATATATGCTTCTTCGACGCATAATTTTACCACCCGATCATGAAGCAGCTTTATCATCTGATGCTTTTTATTTAGCTAAACAACTATCTGATTTAAATCATTCTGCTATTGTTGGATTTCGGGATGTATTTTTCACTGATGCATTTGCTGATAACTGTAAGTTTACTTCAAACAACTACATATTACTATAATAATATTTATGTACATTGTATGCTAAAACTAATGAATAAATAATTCCCAATACAAATATTGAACTCTGAGGTTTGTATTTAAAAGATTTTTGAGGAGAGATAAATGGTGGCTGTCAGTAGAATCCAGGACGCATGTTTCGCCCTATCCGGGACTTAGCTGCATGTACCTGCATCCCGGAATTGATGCTCATTCCAGGACTCCGGAATGCAGGTACATGTAGCCAACGAGTTCCAGATAGGATGAAACACGAGTCTTGAACTCCACTAATAGTCACCATTCGTTTCTGCTTAGAAATGCTTATGACTTAGTGGCAATATCGAGACATCTACACAGAATGCACATATGCCAAAAAAACTGATCAGTTTCAGTCTTAAGCATCGATGGAGAGAATAAAAGGCCCAAGACATAAATTAACAAGACTGCTTAGATAAGTTTACATATAATTTGTGACTTAAAATATTTTCTTAAAGAATACGAATATTGGAGGACTAATAATATATTCTATGAAATGTGAAAGCTGTGGAGCAGTTTCTCAACGGTTTAACACCTAAATTTCATTGAAATCATGAACCGATCCAAGTTAGACCATCATTGAAAACCTAGAAAAACTGGGTCCTCAAATGCCCTGGTACGGCCGAGGGTAGGGAGAGTTAGCTCTCCCTCTCGAAATGCTCTCACATGGCCACGTGTATACAGCCACTGCCAGGGAAGTCCTATTCACTGCCTTCTCGTGGCGGAGGCACTGTTTACGAAATTGGGAGGATCAAAAGCGAATGTCCGAAGCTTTAACCGGGTCGGTGGATATAGAGGATCCACCTACGAGAGTTAGAAAACCCTGATTCCAAATCAATGGTGTACCTAGAGGACATGGAGCATCTATCTTTTCTCGTGTTAACGTCAGACGAATTAGGAATATGATTTCAAAATTACTTCTCAATTTATAATGTGTATTAGAAAACAGTAATCTAAATTTTGGTAGAATGCCTGAAATTCATGACAGAAGGATGAGTCAACTTCGTATTTAATATTTTTATTGTCTTCCTAGATCCGAATGTGTTCCAGTAAGCTAACTAATAGGTTTTATTACATTTCAGTTGTATTATGGTGATTTACTTTTATTATCATGACAGCTCTCTGGCAGTATTACTTGCTCCTCACTGGCTCTTTATGAAACATTTCTGTATTATTAAATATCCTTATAAATAGTGCACACATTAACATAATATTCCTTCAAGTAAATCTACTTGTGCTTTGTAGCGGTTATCCTGGTTTATGAATACATACCTTGTTCATCAACTCTACAACAAATTCATATGAGTGATCCATTGAAATTAACTAGTTTTACTTCGCCTTTCAGTATTGGTCGTACAGTGTTACCTCATAGTGCCATAAAAAGTAAGTTTATTAATATCAACAATATAATGAAATGAAACGTAGAAACTATTCATATTTCAATGTACTCGACTGTATGGTTACATAAGCTGTATTAAGTAGATATAGAGATTGAAAGGTTTTTTTTACTGTAAAACAGTTTGTTTATTCGATATTCAGTACAGACACTTATATAGGATAAAATAAATCCAAAAAAGAAAAATATCATATAAAAATCCATCCCTGAAAGTTATCGCGTCCCGCAAAAGTGAGACAAATACGGATGAATTCGCTCTTCACATTCTTTCGAATTTCAAACATTGTATTGTCAGCTGTTATGATTTCTCTTATTATAACCTAGTTACTCTTAGTGCTTAGTATTCTCGACAAGTCCCCATATCAGAACACGGTTGAACAGAAACGTAATTATGTTCCAAATAACAAGGTTGGATGGAATTAGGAATCGCAGTAAGAAAAACGTCAGTATATTTGTGGTTGCACTATATACTTTGAAAAGCCTTTAGTCAAGTAGTTATTAAATTACATGCATTGATATTGTTCTGTTTATTTATTTATTTTTTGGTTGTAGGTGCTCCATCTGATCTCGGAATGCCTCATGAGTCTGTTATGTGGTCATATTTAATTCAATTAACCAGTGGTTTGCGTTTTATTCACCAAACATTTCACCGATCATGTGGTATACTGGATCCTACTAAAGTGTTATTACAAGATGGACCGCGGTAGAATTCTGTTTTTTAGCCCTAAAATTTTGTAATTTTATCTTTACATTTTTTAAAATTTATATCCAAATGTCATATGTTATGTGTGTACTGCAAACTTATGATGAATATGATATCATACATTGTTTACTTCGAGTAAATGGCAATCACACTAGAAAATTATTTAATTTTGGAGGGATTACAACATAAAAAAATCTGTAGGCTTCTGTGTTGAATTTTAAAAGAAATGTGTCTGACATTCTAGTATTTGTTTAATTTCTTTGGCCGGTCGAATTCCTAACATCGCGCTTCATATTTATCTGACGTCAAACCTGAATGTTTCTGCTTGTCACTCAAACAAACACAAACACTATTGGTACTATTTGTTGATAATTTTCGTACTTCTGATTAAAACTATCTTTAAAGGTATGTAAAGTTGTTATTCGTTTCATTGCAGGTAACTGTGTATATTAAGGCAAATATTGTTGAGCAAAGCTCTGCTTTCTCAGGTTTTTTAGACCATTTAATTATATGAAATCATTCCAATAGATGAATATTTATTTTTAGAAGGGACTATTTTATAACACCAGCTTATTTCTACTAAATACAAACTTTCTGTGCAATTACTTAAGTACTAAATCTCCAGACATTTTTGTGTGTCTGCTTTTAACAAGAAGTTCAATCAGTCAGTCATACGCAATGTAGAACTTGGCACATTTGTACATCGTTTCGAGTTGCGACACCCCTTTCTAACAAAACGTTCACTTGTTATTGTAATCAGATTACCTCGACTCGCTTTCGAATTATGTTTTGCTCAAGTGTTAAATCTACTACCTACACAAATTTATAAACTGCTAGTTATTTTCCTTCTAATAGTTTATTCTACAAAGAATACTGAACAAGAATATTCTCTTTTCTACACTAACCTAAAAGTAAAATTTTACCTTACTGTCTTCTTACTTCATCATCGTTCTTTTTTAATACATCAAAGTGACATATATTTAATTATTTACTGACTTGTTAGACTCAACGAAAGATTCTAAGCCAAACAGTCGAAACGACTCTCAACGATTAATACAATGAATCAACGCGTCTTTCAGTTCTAAGCAATATAAAAGGCTTGCGTTTTGTTTGGAACTATCTAGTATTGAATAAATTATATCGAGTCAAATTTGTTTGTTGAAAATAACCGGTCTCAAGTATTTTAAGCTGTGATAGATGGTGGTTAGCAGTGGAATCCAGGACGTGCGTTTCGTCTTATTTTTGACTCATCACGTGGATGTATCTACATCCCAGAGTTAGTGTTCACTCTTTGACTGGAACCCAGTACCTTTCTTAAAACGTCATCGCGTTGTTTGCTTAGCTCCTGAGTCCAGATAGCCACTGACTTGTGTAGTGCGGTGAATTTTAAATTCTAATTCATACACGTTGGTTGTGCCTTATGCGTGTGACTTACTGGCAATATCGAGACAATTAACATAGGGTGCACGTATGACAAGAAGAGTCTGATCGATTGCAGTCCTAGACATCAATGAGATTTAAACAACCTATATCTAATAGTTTCATAAACAACGATTTACTAATAGGTCTAGTCTTATGTTTATTAGTTCATATGTTTAAAATGATATGGGTCTTAATGTAAATTAATGTGAATTAAGTGGAATTAGTATAAATCTAGTTTGACAGTAATTCGTTTTCATAATTTCATCCTGTTTTTCTAAATAAACTATCTAGTATTTCATCACTTGCTTCATGAACTAAGTCCTATATAACTGTCTATAGTTTGACCGGAAGAAAATGACTGATGGTTGTTACTAGTGTAGTAAATATCTATTTAAAACTGAAATGATACAATTAGGATCTATTTATTCTGTTTGCTTCAATAAGCATCTGTTTATGGTATGATAACATATATTAGAGTTGTAATGCCTGTAGACAAACCATTGATGCTCTTTCATTGAGTAATACACTCACTTTTCTCTACATAAAATTATGTAGCTTGTTATTCTCTTCCCATCAATTTCTTTCTATATCTTTCCATAGTTTGCGAATCAATTGTTTTGGTTTAAAGGATATTCTGTTCTATTCTGCACAAGATACCAATTTAGTAGAAAGTCAGGTATGTTAGCAATTTTAATATTATACATATGTATAATATCTATTAGAGTAAAATTATGGAACACTTGTCAGACAAGTTCTGTAACATAATTGATTGTAGCGATACCCGAAATTCGTTTGTCTGAACCAGCCCGTTGTCAAAGTTCTGTTTCAATTTCTATCATCATTCAGTTTTTACCGTTTTTTATTAGAAAAGGTTCGTCTTTTCGCCACCCAGTCACAATGGTTGGTTACCTTAGGTATCATTGCTTAATGTCAGTTACAATAACGTATATGCATTCATCCTTAAGATTCCCCTAGATCTTGAGTTTCATAGGTATCTCATATTTTTGACCCGTTCTTCTTTTTGAGCCAAACTCCATATGTTTGTTCATTCTTATTCTCATTGTTACTACTATTATTCCGACTTATTTACTATCTGTCTCATTAATGTTCTCACTGTGTTCATATGATGTAGCAGATTGACTCAATCCAAACTTATGCTTAGTATTACGTTGGTTATGTATTAAACGACATTTTTCCTTATTAGTATTTGCCTATTGAGACCAATGTTATCTTATATGCAAGACATATCGGTTTGGTATTGTTAAATAATCTCGAAAAATTCTAATAAAATGGTTGTTCATGAAATCGTCAGATATTTCTTCACCATAGAAAATTATTATCACTATTATTATGCACAAATATAAAAAAGTTTTTTAAACTGTGAAACCACTAATAATAGTGTTCAAACATTCAACCTAATGACTGATTCATGATATATAATTCTGAATTTTATTAAATTCTATATACATATATGTTTTAATTTAATTGACGATAAGTATTTCTGTAGGGTCTTTATTACTGATAACTCATCGTTTTACTTTATAGGCAGCTGACTTTATACAACTTGGCAAATTAATGATAGGAGTTGCTTGTGGTACAGTTGCAGCTGTACAGGTTAGTGAATATTCTTTTCCTCAAACAAATTCATTTAGTGTACAATTTTTTGTTATCTAGAATGTCCTTCTTGACATTTTTTAAAACCTAAGTTGTATCGCCTCCAAATCTGTCTAACTCAATAACTACTTGATATGATCAGCTAATTCCTGGAAGTTATCAACCCTGATACCTTTCTTAGCTCATCAAAGATGCTAATTTGCTTTTGATGTTACTAACTAATCCTGTTAGGTTAGACGGAAGTCTTGAAGCCTTGTTTTTTCTTTCATGACTCACAATAATTTCAATATATCTACGTGAAAGGGTTTTCATTAAGTTACAACTAATATATTTAATTATCAAGACAATTAAAAGCCTTTATTAAATTGTGCCTGTGGTTGAGGTATGAAAGATTCTGAATCCATTTTTTAAACTATTTCCTAGAGTAACTTTTAATTAACTTCTCATGTGTTATCCACTCAACGTAACACTTTGTTCTATCACTTTCTATGAAATCATAATTACCGTTGGATTTTTTCACCATTTTAATTTATTTATTTATAAAGGCTAGTCAACGGGCTTCTTCATTCAACCTACTTCAGCGTGCATATCGACCAGAATTAGTCACTCTTATTCGAAGTTTAGTATCAGGACAGATATCAGGAGCAGATCAACTAATGCGGGCTACTGCACCATTTGCATTCGATCACTTAACAAGGTTATATGATCATTCAGATCTCTTGGAAAGTCAATTATTATTGGTGAGTACGTTATGTAAATGTTTAATAAGGCGGCCTGCTTGAGCATCTGGGCTACCTGTTGCTGCCATCTAGATATTTCAACAAGTTATTTTTGTTTGTTTTAATATATCATTATGTCTATTAATCTCATAACCTATTCTGCTGCGTTTCTGACAAGTGTACAACCTTTCGTTGTCAAAGTTACAAAAAGAGAGAATGTGGTTGCTGGCAATATACAACGAAAAGCATGTACATTATTCAGATGTGCATTTACTGGCGATCACTCAATATTTATTGCGAGGACCGACCAAGAAGAAAGAAACAGAAACTTGTTGAAATACTTTGTGCTGAGAATTCTATATTGTACCAATAATATAATATTGAATAAAACTAATAATAATAATAATAATAATAATAATAATAGTAATAATAAAAATAATAGTTTCTTCATTACTGTAATTTGTATCTGTTACAGTTCAAACAGTCTATTCACATACTATAAATATTATAAACTCATTATATTCGTTTTTTTCACAATTCTATGACTGCTAGGAATGAAAAACGATGCAATAAAAGGAATAAACGCAGATAGAACTCGTTTGTTTTGATATCTATTATATTACAACTCAATGGTTTATTGTTATACATAGACACTGTGTGATTGATGATAACTCGTTTTGATCCATAAGCTCACATATACAAGATTTTGTATAGTCTAATATGTCTATGTTTCATATATAATTTTTCCCGTATGTCATCACACTACGGATTTGTCTTGTTTCGTGCTTCAAATATTGAATTCATCAATGATTATAACACATGAACTCATTTTCTTATGATACAATATTACAGTATTTTTACTGCTTAGCTGTAGTCTCTTTAAGTTTAAAGATTTTTCAATTTTATGTTTTTATTGTTAGTATTGTTTTTATTTCATAAACTTCATTTCATTTGTAATCGTGCAATTTGTTTTGTTAATATATACTAACTACTACTTCCATCTAGATATTAGTTAACGATGTCACTCAATTTATTGATTTTTGTGCTAAAATAATATTTGTATACTTTTTTAGTTTCTATAATCTACTCTACTCACCTTTTATGGCTTAATACTATTATGCAATAAGTCATATCCTGTATGCCAAAGTGTTCTGTGCCTTTCTACAAAATTATAGTAAATAGTTTTATGTATCATACAATTTCAAAATAAGTGGAATATCCAGGTATATATTCTCTTAATGATAGGCTTTCAGACTATTGCTATTCAAATATAATATTTGATGTGTTTACATGTTTATGCATATTGTAATATATGCTCCGACTCTCAGTTTATTCATAAACGATGTAAATAAATAAAGATAACAAGGAAATGTAAAACAGAATGCTGTGAATCTTGATTCTCTGTTTTGACACTTTATTGTGAATCAGTTATGATTAAAAGCTTGAACAAATTGTCTTGTTTACCTAGTTCGTTGTATTTAGACTTGATATACATTACCTACCTTTGATTTATTGATTAACGATGATTAGTTGGGTTTGAAAACTTAATTGTTCTTATATTTCGTAGTTCTAGGCTCAATAGGTGTATAGATATTATGATTGTTGCTTAATTTATGAACTACAGTAAAAAGTTTACTTCATAAAACCTAAGAAGATAAAAAATTCAGACATTTAGAATACTCGAAGATTTGATTTGATTTGTTACTTTTGAATTGAACAAATAACAAGCAGTAATTCGCGAATATTCTCTAAATTTTTACAACCTAAATTAGTTACGATGAATAATTTTAAGAAATTTGATAGAAAAGTAATAATTTCATAAATAATCACCTTTGCAAATAAACCTTACAATAAATCATATGACATCAACTGCTTGTGATCAACTTCCGTTTATATTATTTAAACCATTGTTTTCTTAACCATAAGTTGCTTATCTGTATACGTAAATTTTTTAGCTTGCTAACCGCTAAATATTTTGAAAATTAATCCACTTGATATTATTCAACTACATATGTTATCTTCAGTATATTCGACATTCACATATTATTACTCAATGTGTCAGGACTTTTCATACACGAAGCAGCGATATAATTAGTTAGTTCACTTGGCTTTTGAATGTTAAGTCAGAAAATAAACCCTGCTCCATCAACTTCTGTTGAAGTAACCCTAACACTTACAGTGTGTGAACCCTTGTGAATAGGACCTGACTTCTAAATAAGTTTATCAGTTTTGATAAGTTATTTAACTGTTTTTCGTAAGGACAAATGACACTGTAATGTATGGCTACATTGTATCGTCTTTTACTATTCACTTTAATGTCGATATATATTTTAAATATTTACAAAATTCACTCATAAACCATTCGATATATCATTTTACTGTTTAGGAACTGGAATGTGACAGACTTTTCCGACTCATCTGTAAACTTCAATCTATTGTGGAGCGTTGCGAGTGAGTGTGTTTTTTTAGCAGGTAGTTCGTTCATTTTCTTTGGGTTGAAATTATTTCAACCGCTTTTATATTTTAAGTAATTTTTACAGACACTTTTAAAAACATTCTAAGGTCACCTTATTTTAATCCTACTTTATGGTATAGATTAGTCGATTGTGTTTAGGATTTTGTTTGCATCTTACGCTTATTCTTTATAACTGTAATAATTTATCATTAAATCGCGGATTATTTTCTCACAATTCTTCTTTTCCTATATTGGTAAATTATAATTTGCATTGGTTTTTCATCACTTGTTCTGCTTAATAAATGCTGTTTTTGAGACGTATTTTACAACGAACATTAATGTGTCTATTCAGACAAAAGTCTATTAAATACTGTTTGTCAGTCAGCTACAACGTAGGACCAGGCACATATGTGCATCGGTCCAGGTTGCCATACCGCAAAATACTGTTTGTTATCCTACCTACCACAATTGATAACAATTTCAGTATTATTTTAAAAAAATTTCAAAATGATCCTAAGCAGTTTTATTATTCTATAGTAATTTGCCTAGTTGTGTTTACCTCGGATCAATCGGTAATGCTACTCATATACTTGTTAAGATTCACAAGAATATATGCTACATTACATTATGTAGATTTTACCGCATTAATCATTGTTTAATTATTGTTTTACAATTTATAACTATTTCATGTAATAATCCATCATAGTTATTGTTTTGTAATAAAAAAAATACAGTAGGTATTATTTACTTGCAGATTAATTTTGTTTTAACATATCGTTCTACTTACATTCTATGTGTAAGTAAATATGTGAATGTGTATGTCATGTGACAGTTTTGTCTGTCAGTACATGTGTTGTACAAAAAAGTTTTGCAAAAGTTATTAATTATGCTCTTTTATTGAGGAATATCGAGTTATCCATTGTCTTGAAAAAGTCGATATTAGCCGTTGTTAAATATTATAATATGCTCTTATGTCAAATTGGTCAATTTTTTGTCGAGTTATTAGTTAATTGTTTATTTTCCCTTCATTTTTTCTGTATTCTTCTGTGTTATTGCTATTCATATAAAATGGTTTAGTTATCTGTTAGGGACGAAATCCATTTATTTATAAGCTTTCATTTCATATTTTCAACACATAAGTTGTTTTCACCAGGCCAGAAGATAATTTTTTTGCAAAGGACGAAGAGATTTAATGCTACCCAATTACCAAGTTCTGGGTCCGTGTAAGCGGTTACCAACCACATTTTGATATGTAAACAAATGATACCACTATAGGCTGACCAAAAATGGTAAATGGAACTAAATTCGAACTTGTGACAATGGTTGGAAGTTAATTGCTTTCACTACTACTAAGCTGTCTCTCCATTGAAATAATCCCCTACTGTGCAAGCGACTAATATTTCCTTCAAACTGAAAGATAATTAATGTTATTTTTATTAAAATAGTTTTGAACCTTTAATCTGTTAAGCATTGGATCGTAGGTTTATCTACAATACACGCCTATTTCAAGTGTGAGTATTCATATAATATCAACAAATGTCGAACAAAGTGACTTATGGATTTGGACTTGATCGACAACCTGTAGTACATGAATATTTAAATCGACTTTTATTGACCATGTATCCTTCGTTTGATGAATATTCTGGATATTTAGTACCAAATATAGTCATTTTGAAATAGAATTTTACAATAAACTCGTAATATCGACTGATCATTATCCAACTTTCAGTGTTTTTGTGGATAAACATTATCTAGTTTTTAGTACGAATCATCCTAGAAATATCACTGCAACTTAAACAGGTATAGATTTTTTGAATAAGTTTCCAGATGATGTGAAAACACTTTCTAAATGAAATCAATACAAGTTATTTCGGGACCTGCAATCTTGTTTTAAAGTTGATGGTTCAATCCAACTCTGCAAACATTAGGTATACTCTTTAAACTGATCAAGTACCTTTTTTCCCACAAAGTATACAATGTTAAATTAATATGTTCTTTCTCATAATTCCTATTTTTTGAGATGCCAGAAAATACGATAGTCAGATTCAGTTGAATATATGTACTCAGAACCAACGTTAATTTTTATACCAATTTTTCAGGATTGTTGCAAGCTACCATAAGTAAATAATATTTCATTTCCTAACTGTCTTATAGTCAGGGTACTTCCCCAGAATGGTCTGAAACAGGTGATCGTTATATGTTGAAATTATTTCGAGATTTCGTATTTCACCAATCTGATCCTCTTGGTGCTCCATACTTAGATCTTGCACATATTATTACTACATTGAACAAGGTACGTTATTTTTCATCTGTTCAGTAGAATTATAGATGAAACTACATTTTTAGTCAGTAAATGTATGCTCTGCAAATAAATAAATGTTATTGATAAATATTTTCGTTAAAATTATTGGGTTCATTTTAGTGTATCTGATTCTTAATCCAGTATATATTTTAATCTTCACATTCAATTATAATTCAATTACGTAGATGGTAATTCAAACATTTTATTCTAATTAACCAAAGGTTTGTGAATCGAAGATGTCTATTTTTTTCCAAAAAAGAGTGTACTTTGTTCACATTGTAATGATATAAACATTTTCTTCCTCTCTCTCTCTCTCTCCGTGACTCAAATTTGTCAGTGTTTACATGTGTTGAGTTAAAGTAGTTTTATTTTTATGTCACTTTGATGACATGCTAAACAAAAGCATTTAGTTGGTATACTGATTTCTGTTTGATGCTTTATTTTATTCAGTTGTATATCTCATTTATCGTTCACTCGATTACTTTATGAAGTTAATCAACAAATAATAGCCAATGGATAAATTAAAATTCTTTATAGATTATTAGATGACATTCTTTGGAGTGATGTTAACCAATAATTTGTGTAATACTCCTAAATCATGGTTTTGGTTGCCAGAAGTCTAGTTCTCATTGTGCATCATCGTCGTTCACCTGTTATTTGATAATTTACGCCAACTCAATTGATGGTTGTTAATAATATTACATATTTTAATTTCCCTGTTATTCAGTGTATGTTCACCTTATGAAGTCTTTTTACTTTTTTTAAAAATATGTTTGACATTTGATTGTTTTTTTTCTAAATCATACTATTTTAATTCAGTGAATAAACCACATTATTTTTGGGTTAAATTTTCATATAAGTTTTACCTCAAATATTAAGTGAGAAATATTAATATACTGTATTGAAAATAGAATGGATTAGTAAATTTGACCCAATACCACTTGCATCTTTATTCGACTTGGATTTTTTTTTCATTGTAATCACTAGATAATAACTTTTGTTGATTTATTTGTTCCATTGCCCAATCTATTTTCCATTAATTTATTAAATGTATTCTTTATTTTCCATTCATTATTCATGTAAAGAGTTAATCAATTTCTATTTCAGGTTGAAGCTGCTTCACCCGAACGTCTTTGTCTAGTCAGCCGTGATAGTCAAAATGTGATTATTGTCACCTATGCAGATATTAAACAATGGTTAGATACAAGCTTTTCTTATCTAGTGGACAAACACCGTCAGAGTCAGTGTGAACTACAATTGACACGTCAACGAAATGCTCGCCAACAACAACAGGAGATCTCCAATCCTGGAAGTCAACAATGACTGGAATAACCATAATTATGGTAATAGAAAAATGCTATTATGAGAGTGCTAAATTATTTTGTATTATATTTGCATATATTTTTCTTCTTTTTTCTAAAAGTATAAATCTTGTTTAGTTGACTCAATCCTTGAACATTTTTCAAATGCAATGTTGTTCATTAAATGAAACATATCTGTGAAAGTTCAACATATCGATTGAAATATTCCTTCTTGATTAATGAAGCCTTATTCGTGTACACTTGACCTCTCATGTTGTTTTTATGTGAATAAAAATTAAGATTTCTACGATAAATTTCACTATATAACTCAACAGATTGTATAAATAACCATATATATATATACTTTATTGAATGACCAATATACCAAGTACAGATTTGTATACTTATGCTTTATACGTTACTAGCATTCTCACAGTATCTCAGAGCTTTTAAATCAATACGATTTATCTCAGATAATCTTGTTGTGTATGTAGAAGTTGATAAAGAGTTTTTATATGAATTATTGACTCGACATTTTTTTATCAGTCACTAAATTTTAACCAATCTATCCGAGTTACGCAATTGACAATGAATTCTGTTCTGATCTACTATCGAATTCTTGATTTTCCACTAGTTCATTTAGATGAAAATTTCATGGATTATGTTTGGGTTATACGAATAATCAAACTGAAAACGAAAATGCAGTTGTTCCTCTCTATCATTAATTAAAATCAGTTCTCTAACTGAGGTTATTTCTTGGCGTAAAACTTCGTTTAAATCCCTTCTTCAGTATTGTTATTTGAGTAAAAAAATATTCATCTGGATTACTTAATTGCTTTTTCGTCTTTATACTTTGACTCTTTATAGATTTCGTAATTTTGGGCCATACAATCATGCTCGGGGGCGATGCATATGGCATTACGTTCGATATATAATATCACTTATATGTCCGTCTTCCGTTCTTTGCACTTGTGAAGCCTTGTGTCTAACATTTTTCTCTATTCTTCTATCTATCCATTTACATGTGTGGTATCATTTCTGCAGTAAATTAAAATGATATATTTCTTTATTCTGTCGAAACTCCAGAGTGCTATTTTTTGTTTCCCAAGAAAAACTTCCTTCTCTACATCATCGGTTATTAGCCCCTGCTCTCTTCACTCCTATTTCATGTACTGAATTCACCAATGAATATTCGTTTTGCGGCAATGCATGTAGTATTAATTTGTTGAAAGATTGTTCACATCATCATTACTGTTATTTCAACTGTTATTGTATACTTGTTGTATACTGTTGTTTATCGAGAGTAAATGACCTGTATATTCGTATATTGGTAAGAATGATAAGAGTGGCAATCGCTAAATATCACTCAGACTTTATTGAGTTTTTAATGGAACTGATATTTTGTTGGTTAGTTGTTGTATTACATTGTTACTTTTCTCTCTCTTTGTACCTTTTCTTTTTTAAAAATTGCTCTGTTTGTAAATGAAATCTTCACTTATCGATCATAAATTATTCTTGTTTCGCATTTCTATTTACTATTATTATTACTTCTGCTACTGTTTTTTTACAGTTCTCTTTAGTGCAAGAGTATTTCTAATATCTTGGACAAAAGCAATTACAAAACAATGATGATGTATGTGTACTTATTGTTTCTATGTATGTATTTTGTCAGTTATTCTCTTATCTTGATATATATATATCGATACAATATCAGTCCGTTTCAATTATCTCAGCTATGTTTATTTTTTTCTGCAAATTGAATGTAGAACAGACAAAGAGAGAAAGAGATATACATTCGTTCATTACGATGAAATAGTATTTCTAATAAAAAAAGAAAGAATCATAATTTAAATAGCAGACAAAAGATGAAATGCTTCCACTTCTCTTCACTTTTTTCCCGATTCTTTACTTTTATACTTTTATTTTTCACGAAATCTTTTTTCCAGTCTGTCTTATATTCCTTTCTGTTTCAATTCTTTCCTTCGAAAAAACCTGATTATTTTTGAATTGTCATTACTGTTGTTTAGGTCGGATGATATTTTTGTCTCTTCCTTTTTTTGTAAAATTGTATTTATCATCAGTAAAATATTTCATCCTTCAATTAAATGTTTATTTAATCATACTGAGTAAATATTTATTCAATAAACCGGATTAAATACCATAAAAGCGTATAGAAAATATGCCACTGTTCTCTCTTCTGTTATCGTGGGATTGTTAATCGGTTGAAATGATCTTATATTGATTATTCTTCGTATGTCAGGCTTTTATAACAGTTTTGTTGATATTCACAATCAAACATCTCAGAATAATTTCAAATATTTTTTGAAGCTAGTCGCACTCAGCAATAGTACCTACTTTGTAGTTGACAATAATGTCGTATGAGTATAAACAGTAAAACCGAGATAAAAAGAATTACTGCTCACTTTAAAACATCCGGATATTTTACTGGTGTTTAATCAGTTACGGTGAAAACACCAGTTCCCGTTAGTTTCCTAAAATTGTGTACTGATAATGCGTTGCTTAGTAATGATATATTGGAGTACCAATCATTTTCCCATGCATTCGTACTTTTTGTAGTTCTAAAAAGTGCGCACCATAACTGGACTACGTTCACTTATTCTCTTATCGTCTAAATAAATTTAATAATTAGTAGACAAAAACTTTCGAAAATTGTTTTAAAAACCAATGAACCTTACGTTTGCGCCATGTGTACAGAATAATCTTTCTCTGTTGTTGTGGTTGCTAGGGTAGTCGCGAAAACTATGTATTTTTACTGGTCTAATGCAAAATGTAAACAAAAATAACGAACAGTCGATTCATTTTTGTATTGGTTTTCTTGAATCTTCCGATTGAAGTTTAGGATTACAAATGATCAAACATTTTGGCATATGTGGATTCTATGCGGATTCAGTAGATATTACCTTAAGTCATAAGCAGATATGAATGGTGACCAACAGTGGGATCCAGGACGTATATTTCCTCCCAGTTTGGGCTCGTCAGCTGGATGTACCTGCATCCTAGATTTGATGTGCACATATGCTAACAGGAGACATCAATGGGAAGATTCAAACAACTCATATAAAAATGAATCATATCTCACCCATTATACAAGCCAATGACTATCTGAACTCAATAGCTAGGTGAATAACGTGGTGCTGTTTGAAGATACATGTACTGGTTTCGAGCACGGAGTGAACACCAACTTTGGGGTGTAGTTATAACCAGATGACGAGTACTAAGTAGGATGAGGCGCGCGTTCCAATGATAGCCTTTGTCTATCTCTGCTTATAAAAAACGATCAACTTTAATTTCATGTTTCTTTGACTTGTAGTCACTGATCATGAAAAGACATTTTTAATGTTTTACTAATAATACTTATTCAAGTTCTTTCTGGGTCGATTTTCTGTTAACGTTTTCACTTACGTAGGATATAAATCCCGGTAAAAACAGTCAAGCTTAATTTCTATATCATTTTGCTTATCAGGACTTAATATTTACATCAATCAGTTTATCCAATCACCTATCTTCAGTAGATCTGTAATAACTGTTAAAGCACCTTGCAACCAGTCGTTCTCAGATTTTAGCCCCTTTTCTGCTTCTACAATCCTAGCGACTGAGTAGTATTTCTAACTAAATATCACAGACATATTAGTCCAATCTCTACCAAATGGATTTAATTGATTATTCCAAACGAATTTGATTTTTAAAAATCAATTAAATTACCTGTTCAACTGAAATTTTTACATATTCAGTAGTGACGATTTTTGATTGAGTTATTCCATTTCAGATTGTTTACGACATGAGTATGTTTTGTTTTCCCAAATCTTTATAACAAAGGATCTCAAAAACAATTTATTACCCTGTATTATTAACAGGAAATGTATTCAGTATTGTAAAAGTCCTTATTCAATAATCAAGTAAATAAATAATTATTAAAAATTAGTCATTTCTATAAACGGGACTCCCAGTAATTTTATTGATTGATTTTAAGAATAGGGGATTAATTAGTGTTCTTTGAATCACTGCGATACTTGTTAGTTATAATGAATGAAATAAAAAGTCAATCAGCTACAACACAGGACCGGGTATATGTATGCATCGGTCCAAAATGTCACACCTCATTAGCATATGATGAACAAATTCATGGAAGTAGTTACTTCAATGGTAGTAATATATAAAAGAAAGATTGTGTATAAGGATATGATACAAGAAAGAATTAGTTCGTAGAAAGAAAGATATAAAGCAACCTTAATCTCACAGTTTAAGGGAAAACAAAAAGTATGTAACGACGCCATTGTGAGCCATGTCACTGTCTCCAACCATTGGTTACGATAGTCATGTGGACCCCAACAAAGTAATCTGCATCTGCCATCATGGCTATGACTAGACGTTAGTGGCTTCAAGCATTGATGCCACGTTTTGGTTTAGCCGCCCCTAACTTCCTTCCAACCATCTCCAACACCGGTTAGCATTGCACGTCGTGGTAGCCGGTGTTCAGGCATACGTAATCCGTGGCCCAACCAACTCACTCGAAGATTCACAACCTCATCAACTGATTTACCATCATTCCCTAATACTATGAGTCTGACCTCACTATTACTTACCCGGTGATCCCAGTAGATGCGAGCAGCATTTATAAGGCGTTTGTGACCAAATACTAGCAGCTTACGAATGTCTTCCACTCTTAATGGCCACGTTTCTCAGTTGCAAAGTAGAACAGAAGGAACCGCTGCGCAGTATACTCATCCCTTAATTGATAGATAGATATCTCGCCTTCGCCATAGGTGACGTAAGTTGGCAAAAGCCAAACGAGCTTTTCGAATCCGTGCTGAAATTTCGTCAGACACCAATCCATTAGGGCTGATCAGACTTCCAATATAAGTGAGGTTGTCAACGCGTTCGACTACTTCACTCCCTATCCTCAGTTCAGGTGTTGACGCAGACCAGTCCTGAAGCAACAACTTGCATTTCGAGGAAGAGAAGCGCATTCCAAACATTCTGGCATTGTTGCTTAGTGCTACCAGAAGACTGCATTTTATCAGCGTCTTCACCAAACAGGACTATGTCATCTGCGTATTCTAAGTTGGTCAGTGGACCTCCTGGAAGTAGATCAATACCTGAGAGTTCAGTCGACGAGAATGTTATTTCCATCAGTAGGTATATGATGAAGCTAAACAAAAGTGAAGAAAGTGGACAGCCTTGACGGACACTACTTGAAGTTGCAAAAGCAGATGACAGTTCGCCATAATCTCTCACTCGACTAGTAGTGTTCGAGTAAAGAGCCTTCACAAAGTTTATGCACTTCCGAGATACGCCTTTCAATGACAGACACTGTCACAAAATCTCGCGGTCTTCTGAGTCAAATGCTGCTTTTAAGTTAAGAAAGATCACCATTGTCGGACGCCGATAAGTGTGCCTGTGTTCTAGAACCTGACGAATGGTGAATATGTGGTCGATGCAGCCAGCTTGATTCTCTCGTGTTTGCAGTTTTAGCGAAGGAGGCCTGCTGACCGATTTGACATAGGGTGCGTATGTTGAAGGCTCCAATGTGTAGTTTGGAGCGGGATTATTTTAGTAGACCTGGGAGAGTGTTTTGCGCACTAGAATCGTTGGCTATGGTGACATTTGAGGAGGAAGCCAAAAGAGGAAGTTTGGCGTTGAAAGTCGTTGTAGGAGGAATAATACGAATTGAAGTGGGAGGTTGATTATGAATACAGTGGTCTTGGGTGGTGTTAGAGGTATGAGGGCGGTTATCACTTCCCGGTTGCCCACACGGTGGAAGGGTTGTGCTGGAGGTACCTGAGAAGGAAATTGAATTAGAGGTGGTCTTAGTGACCTGAGAGCGTGGCCACGGTGCCTAAGGGACAACTGCTTGAGGTTGGTCACACACGACCTTTTTGTGAGTAATCTTCGTGTTAGTTCTGTACTTGTTGGGACTGTACCGCCGGAGACGGATCTCCGTGGGATAAAGCGAGGTGTGCATTTTTAGGGTCGACCTTTTCTAACCCCACTCCTACTTGTGGGAAGGCAACAGCGCTATCATGCTGGTTGTCTGAAGGGAACACCTTACTGCTGTCACTCCTCTGTACAGTCAGCAGTACAACTTCGCTCTCGGACCTTGGGTTTACTGCTTTTAGACTTACCTCTCTTCAACCGACCTGTCTGACATGGTAGGATCTTGAGAAACGACTGTTTCAACCAGTATAGCTCGATTGGTTCATGGCGATAGGCAAGCCCGACCACCACGTCAAGGTAGCAGCAACAGTCGGGATATAAAGTAAGGCAAATTCTAAAATCTCATAAACATTGCATAACAGTAATCGGTTAATCAGATTTATTTTCTTAAGTGCATTTTGACTACAGATTGACTATATTGATACGTTTAATATATATTAGTAGATTATCGATAATGACAGAAATGGAGTGAATGTTTTCATAACACGAGACTACTATTTATAGTAATTGATGCCTGAAGTATGCTATTTTTAATATATTCAGTCCAACGGAATAAAGTTACTATTGATTTAAATGCATAAAAACTACTAATCATATGGTCAAATTGATAAAGTTCACCTAGGTTGTGAGAGTCTTTAACGAAATTCTTAATTAAAATATGTATGTGAATCTGTTTGGATAAAATTTCGGATTCATCACAATCTAATAAGGTGCTTACTACATTTTATAAGGACGTATTGTTGTTGTTTTTTCTTCATAAAGGGTACACAGTTATGTAAGTGGTTTCATGTAAACACAAGAGAGAAATATGTTAACTTAAAACCTCAGAATAATGAATGATGATGGAAAGGTTTTGTAACTCAAATTACTGTTTTGACTCATGTTGCTTTGTCTGAACTAGGAGGTTATATTTTTAAGCGTTTATTATCATCTTGGACAAAATCACCAGCAGTGTTTCATATAGAATTGAAATTTTTAGAACAGTTCCATTACTTTTATATCACTTCTTCCGAGTAGCTTTGTTTTTTCTTATACTGTTTTACTTGACTGACCTATTACAAAGTGACTAATGGATGTTTGCCATCTGAATCGATAAGTCGATCGGTTGTCAATATGCTTAACACTTTAGATGAACATAAATGACACCATTTTAGAAATTCTTTGGTTATCTTCTATGTTTGTTAATTTTAAATGCCATCACAAAATTACCTACGTGAACCCGAA